AGACAAGGTCTTGCTCTACCTCAGGCTGGTCTCGAACCTGTGAGCTCAGGCAATCCACCTGCCTCAGCTTCCCAAGTGCTGGGATTATAAGCATGAACCGCTGTACCCAGCCATGATTCTGAATCTGGATTTAATAATCTCAAAAAACATTTAGCTTGGCTGGACATGGTGGCTCACACTCTGGGAGGCCCAGTTGGGTGGATCACCTGAGCTCAGGAGTTCAAGACCAGTCTGAGCAAAGACCCTTTCTCACTCTGGGAGGCTGAGGCAAGATCACTTCAGTCCAAGAGTTTGAGGTTGCTGTGAGCTCTGATGTTATAGCACTCTACCCAGAGTGACAGAGTGAAACTCTTGTCTCTAAAACAAATTTTAAAAATTACTAGTTCTCCCTTTATTTTTTTTATATATGCATACACACATATATATCCATATAGATGTGCCTGTACATATAGAGAGAAACATGTTCATGGACACAAATACATATTTATTGGCCATGAAAACATATTTATTCATTATCATAAAAAATCAACATAAACATCAGAAATAATGGGGAGTGTGAATACAAATAAAAGCTAAGTCTTATTCAGGCTGGGTTTTCCACTGTCCTGATTCTATTTCCACTGGAATATGTGCCCATAGCTAAATGGATAATTTTGGTATTTGAAATGCATTGATTTTTAAAAAGCTGCAGAAAGATAGAAGGATGGAAAGAGGAAGAGTATGGCACCACACATGGAGACAAAGAAAGGCCAAGAGTAGATTCTCTTTTTTTTTTCTAAGCAGTTTTTTTGGGGTTTTTTTGTGGGGGGAGTGTTTCTGGGACAGAGTCTCAAGCTATCACCTGGGGTAGAGTGCTGTGGCATCACAGCTCACAGCAACCTCAAACTCTTGGGCTTAAGTTATTCTCTTGCCTCAGCCTCCCAAGTAGCTGGGACTACAGGCACCTGCCACAACATCTGGCTATCTTTTTGTTGCAGTTGTCATTGTTGTTTTAACTGGCCCAGGCCAGGTTCAAACTTGGGAGCCTCGGTGTATGTGGCCAGCACTCTTACCCACTGAGCTACAGGTGCTGCCCAAGTATAGATTTTCTAAGTAACATTTTTTTTTTTTTTTGAGATAGAGTTTCACTTCGGTGGAGTGCTATGAAGTCACAGCTCACAGCAACCTCCAACTCCTTGGACTTAGGTGATTCTCTTGCCTCAGCCTCCCAAGTAGCTGGGACTACAGGCACCTACTTTTTGTTGCAGTTAGACCAGAGCTGGGTTTGAACCCATCAACTCTCCGTATATGGGGCTGGCGCCCTACTCACTGAGCCACAGGCGCCACCCCTAAGTAACATTTTTTAAAACTTTGCAAGGCTACATATATACACATGCCCTAAAATATGTCAGAAAATTCAAAATATTATATGCTGATCAACTTTATTAAATACTTACTATGAAAGTATTGTGCTAAAGGGCTTAACTATCCTCAGGTCTTATAAATTCCAAAGGTGGTCTTTTCCTCCAAAAACAATGATCATTCCTTGAGTTTAATGTTTTGTAAGTCATACATTACAAAATAAATTTTATTTCTACCAATAGGTGTTTTAGGAAATAAAAGTAATTTATTAATTCAGAAATCCCCTCTGGATTTAGTCCAGTGCTCCAGTTAGCACTGGACAACCTAGACAGACCTTTGGCTGAACCGTGGAAGAGAGACTAAGATCAGGTTGCTGTTAGCAAGATCTCACAGGCTTGGCCTTTAAGATGCCAGTGACTGAGTCATCTCTCCTGTAGCAGACTGGCTTTGCTAGCTCTTCTCCCACTGCCTGGACTACTATAATCACTTAGTCACCAACCTTTCTTGTAGAAGGCATGAAACTGCTGAGTAAAGCTCAATTTTTAAATATCCGTACATGTCTTTTGATACAGCAGATAATTTCATATCCAGAAAATAGTTGGAACACTTTTCAACAGCAATCCAGGGTTGCATGCACAGCCACCTTGGCACCAGTTCCTTTTCCAGAGGACTTTCTCCACTTCAGCACATGATTTACTCATGATCTAAATCACCTTTGGCTCCTAAATGCTCGCCTCAGCCATTCCCTTTGTTTAGCATTCTTCGGGTTAGCTGTGTGATCATGCGTGGTTGAGTAAGAAAGACTGACCATTTGGGATACTTAACTTTTTTCCCACCCTCCCTTTCACTGTCCTCCTTCCTTTCTTTCTTTTCTTTTCTTTTCTTTCTGTTTTTTCTCAGTAAAGTATTATATTTTTAAAATGTCAATTCCACCATCCTGGCATAATAGTTGTTAGTGATTTAATATATTCCATTCAGTGTTGTTTATTAATTCAGTTGTGTCTGTAGAGTGTGGCTCTCTATCTGATATGTACCACATTCTAGCTAGCATGGTCCTTTCCAGTTGTAATTCCATACCTTTTTCTCCTAACAAAGGAAGCATAAAGGAAAACCAGTAAGTGACAGTAACTTATTCTAAAAATAATCTTCAAGTTGGTCAATGTTTTTTTTTTTTTTTAGAGACAGAGTCTCACTCACACTGTCACCCTTGATAGAGTGCCATGGCATCACAGCTCATAGCAGCTGCCACAACGCCCTGCTATTTTTCTGTTGTAGTTGTCACTGCTGCTCAGCTGGCCCAGACTGGGTTCAAACCCACCAGCCTGGGTGTATGTGCCTGGCGCCGTAATCACTGTGCTACGGGTACCGAGCCCAAGTTGGCCTTTTTTAAGTTCACAGACTTATAATACTTTATCAGTGTTAACAAATTCCTGACAACTTAATAAGTATGTCTCAATACTATGCTTAATAATTCCTGGTTTATAAGATAGGCATACCTAGCTCAGTGTATAGTTGAGAAATAGAAAAGAATCAGTTTTTCCTATAAACTATTTTTTATCTATCATAAATTTTAAAAATACATATTGCTAGGATCTTAAGCCTCTTCATCATGTTTCCATATTGTATGTTAGTCTTCATAACTGTTTTAGGCACTACTTAACATCCCATACTATGGGATGTGTAGGTTTCTGTCTTTATCTTTTATATGTCAAATTGTAGTCATATTTCCAAGCATATATGTTTTTTTGGTTGAGGCAAGAGTTTCGCTTAAGCCCAAGAGTTTGAGGTTGCTGTGAGCTGTGACAACATGGCACTCTACCAAAAACAAAAAACAAAACAAAATCTATCTCCAAAAACAAACAAAAAAATCTCCATCAGGTTCCAGCCTACCGGTGGTCTCTTCAAGTTCTCAGAATGACAGCATTGTTTCTTGGGTTTTGTTTTCTTTTTAATTTTAGGGATCTTAGTTTATCTTTTTTTTTTTT